CACCGTTTATACAAAATTGGTTCCCCTTCACCCAAGGATGCTCCACACCAAATATGGAACAAAACCTTTCATTCCAACAGAAGAAGAATTTTAAAGAATAATTTGCTATGTTTCCCCTATTGGGCCCACCTCTCAGGCCCCTGGTTGGCCAGACCCATGGTTTATACAAAATTGGTTCCCCTTCACCCAATGATGCTTCAGACCAGATATGGAACAAAACCTTGCATTCCTACAGAAGAAGAAGGATTTTAAAGAATTTGCTATATTTCCCCTATTGGGCCCCACACCCCAGACCCCAGGGGGGCCACACCCACCATTTATACAAAATTGAGTCCCCTTGGCCCAAGGATGCTCCAGACTAAATTAGGATAAAATCCTTTAATCCCTACGGTAGAAGAAGGATTTTCAAGGTTTTACCTCTATTTCCCCTATTGGGCCCCCCTCTGCCCCCAGGGGGGGCACACCCACCGTTTATACAAAATTGAGGCCCCTTGGCCGAAGGATACTCTAGACCAAATTTAGTCAAAATCTACTTGGCCGTTCAGGACAAGTAGCGTTTTAAAGAAAAAGTTGAAGGAATGACGACAGATGACGGACGCTGCGGTATGGCATAAGCTCACCATGGTCTTTCGGACCAGGTGAGCTAAAAATCAAAATGGCTGCGTACTTAGCAGGTGGAGGGTGACCTCCGCTATTGCTCGCAATTGCAATTCTAGTTCTTATTGTTATTCTTCCCCCCCAAAAAGTGTCCGCGCTTAATCTTAGGAACTACTAATAGGATTCTTATCATACTTTGCATATGTAATCAGTACAATTTGTAGTTGTGCATCTAACTCTTAATTTTTCCGGGTCAACCATCCAAGATGGTTCTGAAGAAGTTGTTTAACGGTTTAAACTTATTTGACCCCTGTGACCTTGAATATAAGTCAAGGCCATTTAGTTGAACAAACTTGGTAGCCCTTCATCTCAGCATGTTATGGCCAAACATCATCACCTTAGGCCTCTTGCATTGGTTACTGAGAAGTTGTTTAAAGATTTTAACATATTTGACCCCTGTGACCTTGAAAATGGATAAAGGTCATTTATTTGAACAAACTTGGTAGCCCTTCATCACAGCATGACTCTGGCAAAATAACATCACCCTAAGCCTTTTGGTTACTGGGAAGATGTCGTTTAAAGTAACAAGAGGCCCAAGGGCCTTAGCGATCACCTGAGTTATATCATAGGTACTGGTAGCTTTATTTTATTGTTTAGATGTGATGTGGAAATCAGTATGTAAACTAAGTGAAATACAATACTTGTCATGTCATCAAAGGATAAGAATTTTAAAATATTTGTAAATGTTCCCTTTGGGGCCTGCTCTAACCCCTGGGGATGGGGCAGGAATTCCAAGTTTACAATGTGATACCATCATCCACTAAAGATTATTCTGACCAAGTAAAAATAATTTCCAACAGAAAATTGTCAAAATATACCCAAAAGTGTTGTTTCCCTATATAAACTTAAGTAAACTTTACCCCCTCCCCAAAGGAGAACGGATAGCTCGGGGGTCCTGAAATTTACAATTCAAATAAAGCCCCTGATGATCTTTCCATCCATGCAGAGAAAATGACTGTAGTATAGGATTCTGAGACTGGGGAAGAAGATTTTTGAACAAGAGGCCCAAGAGGGCCTGTATCGCTCACCTGAATATTTAAGCAGTCATAGCAAAATATTCTCATTAAATATTATATTGCACTAAAAATATTTCCCTCGCAAACTTTGTTGGCTCCATCTGTTGAAACTACCAGCAAAATATTATTATAAGATTCTATGCTTTTTGATTCTTCTTCAGAAGTTGCTTGACATATTTTTCCCTGTGATCTTGTAAGTAGGTCAATGTCATTTTCCTTCTCAAATTGGTTAGCTCTATTCCAAAAAGCTACCAGCCAAATCTTATGAATCCATTCCTTTTAGTTCTCAAGAACAAATCCATTAAAATGTTGTTGACCTCTGTGACCTCTAAAGTAGGTTGAGGTCATTTTCATTTGCAAACTTTGGTGAGCTCTATCC